TTCCTGATCTCGGTTATATTTTTGTTTTTTGCTAAGTGTGCACATACTTTTGAAACAAAGCAAAAATTTTTCTTTAATAAAAAATTATGTTAGTAGCTACGATGCTCCCTCAGAATAAGGGTTCATAGGTTATTGCACACAAGGAATTGAATGGTGAAGGTCACAGGTCACAGAAAGCAATATTATTCTTAAAAAAACAAAATGTTGGGTGTGCACATACTTTTGAAACACACTGTATGCCCTGGGTCCCTTGAACGGACTGCTGTGGCTCGCGATAGGGACGAATGGAGACGTTACTCGAGGTAATTGAAGATCAACGGGACAAAAGGTGATAAAGGTGATGATACTATCACTAATGATCTCGGTATATCTCATCCGGCACCTCAGAAGGTCTTCCGTTTTCAATGCTGCGCCAGTTCACTCCTCCTTTTTCTACCCCCTTATTTTATATGCTGTCGCGAAATACCGCTGTGTTAAATTTCTCATTCCCTACTGGGAGGCGTTTTTCCAGGAACAAAAGTCCTGTGGCTTTGACCATTAGTTTGGATGCCTCTGTAACTCAGGGTGACGGCGGCGCTAATGGAGACGGCTGATGATCGAACTAATATTCAATCACTGCGATCATGTTTTCTTTCAATCGTGATGTAGCCTGAGGATGATGTATTGAACTTATGCGATCTCATGGACGTGTGTCCAGGACAGAGCATCCCTCTCCCCTTATTCTCGACACAAAGCATGCCCACAGTTGCTGAATACTGATCAAATATCGTTTGACTCGAGGGAACTATTGGTAACTTACATGAGGGACACTTGAAAGACAGAAGCATTCGATAACACTCGCAAATAGGAGCAGAATACTACATATGTAAACACCCACTGAGATCAAAGCCTTCCATTCAATTGCAAAAAGAGAACTTGGAGATGGAATGGCATATGACTGTATAGAAAAGCTGCCAAGTTGGACAAGATGTGTAAATAGGCTACGACTGCATGAGAAATGAAATGAAGATACAGGAACAAGAGTGATTTATTATTCAGCACTGTCCGGACGGTTTTACTTTCGTGTTCAATGTTCGCAGCGGGACTCTGCTTTAGTAGAGTGCATTTCTTACACTGAAATCTTGTGTTTTCGCAACATTAGCTGCTGTTAGGCTAACAAAAATTGTTAGCCCGAAGAGCTGCTATTTATCTTGACTTTCACGTTTTTTTTTCAATTGGTTGCGAAAGAGACCTCCGTGAGGCTTTCCTTTTGACAATTCTCTCGATAAAAGAGCAAATATAATCTAGAAAACCAGTGCCTTTGAGCGCGATGGAACTTTAGAATTACACAGGAAACCCAGAAGACAAAACCTGAGCTCCCAGAAAACTGTCAGCCATTTAGGGAATGGTCTGATCACAATTAACAGGAAGGCCCAGCAGAGGGGAGGGAGCGGGATACTATAGTAAAGAAGCCTTATTACTATGTATGTACTTACTATCCTGGGCTGATCAAGAGAATGTCCCATTTTAGTTTCCGTCGTTACTCAGACTAAGGCTTTTGACAGTCCGATGAGAAGGCCAGCTAGAGTCACAGCAACAGAACTCGGGAACCAGCAGGTGTAAGGAGGATTCTTGATAGGGTTAAGCATTTTGGGATGCACATAGCCACTATACGGTCACACAGTGACCTAGATCCATAGCGACTTACGCTGAGCTGGAGTGTTCACGACCTTATAAGAACAGATCTTCTCGAATCGAGTCACTCAAAAGTTAAGAGATGAAGGGAAAACTTCCATTTCACCCATCACCTCAGAGTGAAAAACCTAATCAGCCATCAGCCTAATACATGGTTTCCTTGGGCGAAGGATACCGCCGAATCAACTCTTACATCTATCCAAAACAAGACATCAAATGATCTGATGCTTATGAATAACGAGCTCGGAAAAGAAACCTAAGGTTTTCAAAAGTCTTCAAATCTTCGCAATCATTCGAGAGGAACTTTTTTAACGCTGGCTGGTGATGGGACTGGTTGAAGCCAACTCAATTTGATGAAAAGATAAAAACAGGGCAACACATACGACTTCAAGTTTTTCGAAAACCTGAGTGACCTTTTCTGGAAATGGTAATAGCGGTGGTGTTGCAACTGGTGACCGGAAGGAAGTGAGCCGATCCTCTCGACCACTGGTTGTCACTTTACAAATTCCGCAAAACTGCATGGTGCAGTGACTTCCTGTTGACCTGCCCATCCTTCGTAACCGGTTTCAAAGTTGCGACTTGGACATTATGAAAGATAACTTCGCGGAAACTAATAAGGAAAAGGTCATCGTCAGTGATTTTATCGGTGAAAAGCTATCTATCGCGGTAAAAGGGCATTAGTACGATGAATCCAGAACCTTAACGGAGTGTGGTATTCCCAAAAGTGTCCATGTCGTTCCACCATAGTTACTACTCTTTCGCATCAGACGACCTTGTAAATTTGCTCAAAAACTGAAACCGAAAAGGGTTTCGCGATAGATTCTTGCAGCAGTTGAATCGGATGTTCTTCAGAGAAGAAGTTGGGCAGTTAATCAACAGGAGCCACCGCAGCGAGTGTGTCTGCCACTATTTCGTCGCAATGTGCTGCTTGTCTGTGAAACTACCGTTCTCGGCTCCCTTCATAGAGTATTTTGCGTCATAGAGAATTATATAGGTGCCTCTTCGCACCATCTATGTATGAGATACGCCTTCCCATCTTTTCCAATAGCTGGGGAGCCTATTTATTCCTTCGGGCACCGCACAGATGGCAACCTCCGGCTGCGTGTTGTAAATGATTTCAGCTACGACGATGCATGAACTTCATGCAACTTAGTTTTTCACAAGATTACCGTATCTCTGAGCGGAAGCGGCAGACTTTTCGGAAGTTCCCACTAGAATCAAAATTTACCGAGGTCACCCGAGCTACCCACTTCTGAGCTGAGTACCTACAGAAAATATTTGTAATGCACTTGTTCTGAAACGACAACGACTGCAGACACGTGGCATATCCAGGGTAACTACCCATGGGAAATATCGTTCTAGCCTAATGGAGAGGTTCAATTTAGAAAATAAAAAATTTCAAAGCCATTTAGGCAATTTTAATTTATTTCTCGAAAATATGCCATGATCAACTTATTTTCCCCGCAACAGGTCAAATAATGGAAAAAAGGATACAGGCGAAGACTTTGAGAAGTCTTGGAAAAAGGAGTGGAAGAAAATGTGTCGCTAAACGGGG